GGGGGGGGGGGTCACCCTGTCTCACACACAACCTTCACAGAGGAAAGAGAAAAGCAAAGCAAGACCAATGGCCAGAGCTCAAGGGAGAACCAGAGAAGCAGGGAGAGGAGACGCAAATTTCCTACAGTGACACAGCCCGTAGGTGGCAGATGCTGGCAGTGGAGGAGGCAGTGGGCGCAGAGAGGCGGGGAGTGGCAGGGAAGGGTGCAGCTTCCTACCTGTGATATTGACCTCCACCTGGCCTGAGCGGGTGCCGATGGGGTTGGTGGCCTCACAGACGTAGGTTCCTGCCAGGCTGTAGTTGATAGGTCCCCTGAAGAAAAGAGTTCTGTTCTGGGCCTCCACACCCTTGGGGAGGGAGCCATTCAGCCTGCAGGGATTGGGAGACAAGGCAGAGGGTTATGACTCTCCAGCCCCAAGAAGCTGCCCCTGTGTCACCCACCTGACTTCAACACCATCAGCCCTTTGGCTGAGTTAATAGACAGCATCTGTCTCGGAAGGGGTAAAAGCAATAAAAAACAACAATCATCTCTTGCATTTGGCAGTTTTGTATCATTCAGTGTTTCACATTTGCTCATCACAGCACTGACATGCAGACAGGACAGGTAGATACTGGATCCACTTAACAGAAGAGAAACAAGGTCCAAGGCCAAGGAAACATAGCTAGAAAGTGACAATTGGAGCTCTAGCCAGAGCTCTGGACTCTTGGCACAGTGCTCTTTCCACCACACTGGTTCCTGCTAGTTGGTCCTTGGTTTCCTGGGTAGTTGGTTAATAGTCTGGGGTCCTAACCCCAAATCTACTAAAGCTGCGCCACTGGGGTCATGGCCTAGAATTTTAACAAGCTACTCAGGTAACGAGATGTGCCCCATGTTTAGGTATGTTCCATTTCACCATCTCATTTTCTTGCTGGGCATGTCACAGGTCTTTTTCACAGGGGGAGAGTCCTAGAGGGCTCCTGAACACAGGAGACCTTTTCCTTCCTCCTGATCCTTCATGCCACAAAACTATTATTCTGTTGGACCCGGAGCTGAACTTGGCAGGCAGGGCCCTGCCCACTCGCACCTACGGAACTACTGCTGGTTCCAGGAAGTGGATGGTAACAAACAGCTAAGGTATGTCAGCGCCTTCTACTCCCTAGAAAAAGAATGTAGACACGATCTGGGCAGCCGTATTCTGGCCACCCATGTCAACCTGCTTCTTAGCTTCCCCACGCCCCTGTCTTTCTGCTTTCTGTGTGTTCCATCCAGCTCTTCTCTGGGAGGAGCCTTGGCTCAGGCCATCAGAGCTGGCTGGGGTGGGGGGGTGAGACTAGACCCTTTGAGGTGCAGGCCCAAAGACCACGAAGCCAAGGATGGGAGGATGGGCCTTGGGACGAGCACTCTACGAACACAGGCATTCTGGGCTGACTGCTGCCTCTTCCCTGAGAATCTGGGGGTGCTGGAGAGAAGGAAAAGGAACAAAGAAAGATCTGGGATGCTCCAGAAAGCCAGCTTCCCTGGGGACATCTCGATAAAAATAAATAGTGGGGGCTGGGGTGGGAGTGACTCAAACTGAATCACCACAACATTCTTTATTAGGGAGCAGAAGGAAGGCAGATCACGAGGGAAGCCCCCCTGGCAGAATGGTTTGTCCCATGGACCCTGATGCTGTCAAACAAGGGCGTGTGTGTGTGTGTGTGTGTGTGTGTGTGTGCGTGTCTCTCGTGGCCCCTCTCCCCTTCTCACCGAGCAACCTTAGCCTAGACCTTCATTTCCTCTCTGCCCAAGGTTTCTGGAGGTGGGGTGGGTGGGCCTCCCTGTGACCAGCAAGGTTCCTGGCAAAGCGACCAGCCAGCCCCGCAGCACTTACGTGGTCCAGTGGTACTCGGTGGCTGGGGGGTTGGCATCAGCTTTGCACTTGAGCTTCACATCCATCCGCTGCAGGTACCAGTTCCCATCAAACCCCTCGATGGTCACCTCGGGCTCGTCTGTGGGACAAGAGGTGATGTTTGAAAAGGGTGAGGTCAGGAGAGCAGAACTTGGGTGAGGGAGGCTCTGATGGGGAAGGGATGGAAGGGGAAGTGACATGGAAACAGCAGGAAGAAGGGGCAGAATGACAGGGAGGGTGGAGGTCACGGACCCTCGGAGCAGAAATAGCAGGGGAATGAGGAAGGGGGAAAGAGAGGGTGGGCAAGGGGGGAAGAGGAGGGGAGGACGAAGAGCCCCCAGGAAGAGGGAGGGAGGGGGAAGGAAAAGAGGGAGGATAAGGGGGTGAGGGAAGGAGGGGTGGGGAGAGTGATGAGAGGTGAGAAGCAAAGGAAGGGGGGCTGGCGAGGGTGGGGGTGGTGTGAGGGGACCACGGCGCCTGCCCCACCCTGGGAGACCCAGCCCTCCGGCACTCTGCCCCGCTCACACTGCACGTTGAGGGTGAGGCTTTCCCGGAAGCGGTCCATGTGGTAGTTGACGATGCAGGCCAGGGACTGCCGGTGGGCTTCCCGGCTGGGCACCAGGCGGTAGCGGCTGATGACGGTCACCGTGCCGTTGGGGTTCCGGATCTCCTGGTACTCCGCCTCACCCTTCAGCCGCGTTTCCCAGGACACCACACTGGGAGGCTTCCCATTGGCCGAGGTGCAGGTGGCCACCAGGACCTTGTCATCCTGCCCCTTCCTGGCTCGAAGCACTGCCTGGGCGCCCTCTATCCAGTTGGTGGGTTTGGCTGCGGGGAACCAGAGAGAGCCATGAGTCTGGCTCTGTTGCCTCATCAAGGAGACACAGGCCAGGAGGGCAGGTACCTGCCAGGCCTTGCTTCAGGTCACCCTGGCCATCCGTGCCTCTCAGCTACGCTTCACCAAAGCCCCTCCCAGCACTTCTCACAGGGACCTCTTTGGATCTAACCCACAGCCTTCCTGCTCTAGTCTTTGTATCCCCTTTTGTCACGTGGAAGTCTTCTTGGAGTCCTGCCGTGCTCAGGAGGCTCTCTCCCTTACCATGGCGTCTGCCTGCTTCCTGGCCACCTGGAAAGTGCCCCACGGTGGGGCTCCAACCTGAATACTGATCCTCAGCTCTGTCCACAGCGAAGGCCCAGCCCCCATCCCTAGTGAACTGAGACAGTCTGGTTAGAAGGGACCAGAAGTGCCACGCCCAGAGCACGGGAGCATATGCCGACCCAAGGAGAGCATCTGGGGCCACTGAAGATGGCCAAGCCCCCAGGCCACAGGCCCCACCCAAGCAGAGAGGAGTGGTCCGGTCAGCTTACCCATCACAGTGAGATTGAGCTGGCTCTCTCGATTGCCAGCAGGGAAGGTGGCAAACTCGCAGATGTAGACGCCCTCATCCTCCAGCTCCAGGCGGGAGAGGCGAATGGTGCCGTCTGTGAAGGAGGGCCGTAGGAACTCCACGCGCTCGCGGTAGGGGGCCAGCACCGAGACGCCCATGGCCGGGTTGTAGATAGCCACGTTCTGCTTGGAGCCATTGGTGGCCTTCTGCCACGTGACCTGGGTGATCTTCACGCCGGGCAGCGGGTTGGCGAAGCTGCAGTGCAGCACCACGTCCGTGCCGATGAAACCGTACATGGAGTCGTTCACCTGGACCACCTGGGTGTGGGCGCCTGGTCGAGGGAGATGGCAGAGCGTGGTCAGGGACAGCCACAGCCCCCGCCCCAACTCCCTGTGCGCTGGTCTTCTATTTTCCAGTAGTCATTATTTTAAAAATTCTGACTCTACAATAATAATTGCTTGTTATAGAAACACTGTTGTGGGCAATACTAAAAAATACTGAGAAGAAAATGACAACAACCCATGATCCCACCACTCAGACATATCACTGATCATCTGATAGGAAGTGTTCTCTTTTACATCCTTCTCTATATATCCAGGTGACCATCTGTTTTTTTTAAACAAAATCAGAACCATACCGTAATCTGTTCCATAAACTGTCTTTTCACTTAGTGATATATCATCAGTGTTGCTCCATGGCAGTAAATATCCGTCCACACCCCTATTTTTGATGAGGGTTGAATGTGCTGCTTTTTGAGCAGAGGCTCAGCAGAGGGGCCACCAGCTGCTTCAGCTTCCTGGGCCTCGGTTCCCTCGTCTGATAAATGGGGCGGATAATCCAGTCCTCTCTAGCTCACAGGTTGCTAGGAGAACCAAATGGTACGACGGATGAGACAGTGTCAGGAGGCAGGAAGCGCTGGGGGAGCACCGGGGCCCACAGTGGCCATCATTATGGCCACCTCCGCTCAGGAAGGGCTGAGGGCCCAGGCCCTGGGGTGCACTGGCTTGGCCCCTCTTACCCAGCAAGGCAGCTGCACAGGGCTCAGCCTCTCTGGCTCTAACTCGCCTTCACAATCAAGTCTGGATGTCTTAACTTGGCATTTGACGTCCTCATCACCTGGGTCCTGCCTTTCTGTCCACGTCCATCCATACGTGAGGCCTTCCAACCAGGTCAGACTGGACCCCCCCCCCCCCCC